TTCCAGCAATTATCTGTACCTGTGTACATGCTCTAGCTTAGCTAGATTTATAAGGTAGAATTGGGGTCATGTACTGGGGGGGAGGTAGCATTAAAGAACTAGAGGAAAGTTATATGTTTCATTGGTGCTATACTGCACCCTGACTGGCTCGTCTCTTCCTTGTGACTCTTCTGTAAGGGGACATCCAATTGTCTACAGATGGGCTTTAGGTCTCCACTCCACTTGTCTATCCTCTCATTCACATTGATAAGAATTTTTATTCTGGGTCTTTGATACCTGATACCTGATCCCACTAACACCTTATGATTACACAGGCTGGTGTGCTTCTTCCATATTCCATTCCACATTTTTCTCTCACTCTATAGGCCTTCTAATGTGATCTCTGAGGGTCCCTGCTTTGGACTACTAAATGCAAGGTCAGCAGTTTGAAACCACCAGCTTCTCTGTGGGAGAAAGATGAAGTTTTCTGTTCCAATAAAAAATTATAATTTCAGAAACACACAGGGGAAATTCTACCTGGTCAGACAGGGTCGCTATGCATCAGAATCAACTCAATGGCAGGGAGTTTCTTGTGATCTATGAAGAGCTGTGGGAGTGGGTCGCCGGGCACCATCCAGTACTTCTGGTCTCGAGGTCATGAACACTGATGTTTACAGATCCATTCGTTTAATTTTTTACACGTCTTTGGTCTTCATCACTCTTCTCACCTATGGACAGGGGACACCAATAGTTCCACTCAGAGGGTCCCTCACAAGCTTTTCAAATTCCAGTTACACAAAATAATCATCTTGATTCTAGAACCGCCTATTTTGATTTGAGATCAGCATTATGATGCCAGAAACCGGCAATAACCATTTTGGTTGAGTCAATAAAAGGATTGCAATTGCTTTGTTGAGTTCATCTGAATTTGAACAAGGCTGAGAAATGGAAATGTTGGTTTCTAATCTGCCATGCTTAACTTGAACATCCCTGCCTTGGAAGCTCGTTGTTCTCAAAAAGAAAAGTAATTTATTAAATCAATTATTGCACACAGATCAAACAAAACATCATTGCTAATGACAGGATGGACTATCACTGATGCAGGCATCTCTTTTTTCCCCCTTGGCTTCTGGCCCAATTAACAATTAACAGTGATTGATGTCCAAAAAGAAAGGGTCCTCGTTGCACTGCTGGGCTTTCTCAGCAGGAGTTAGAAATGATATATTTGACAGACTTTAGTCAAAGGGGAAAAAAGATCACAAAAAGTCTCTTGTTTTAATTGTGTACAAAATATATTGCGAAAGCATTATATAAGACCAATACATTCACTGACATTATTTAGAAAAGAAAACATTTTACTTTTGCTAATTTTGGAGAGTTATGAAACACATTACAAATGATTTTTTTTCCTCCATTCTTAAAATGCATAAATCTTGATCTCTTTAGCTAATATTTATAATGTCTGAGAATCACCTTCTGGTGGATAAGTTTTCTTTTTTGAAACCCAAGTTCCAAGCTGAGGAATTAAACCCCACTGAATTTTTCTGCACCAAAGTCAGTTACCCTCTTTCCATAGCGGTACCTACCCATCATGAGGAGAGCCCTCAAGATGCAGCATCTCTTTGAGAGTAAACCATGTGTAGAAACCATACAGTGATCCCTCAAACAGGAAAATGCAAAGAACTTGAGATAATGACCAAAACATAAACGAGGATGTGGTTGATTGAAAAACGTGAATCCATATCCGGAGCCTCTCTGCAGCTTTACTGTTAAGAGACACCGGACAGAGTATGGGTCTAGGTCGAGTTGTGGCCCTGGCCAACTTAGTTTCATTGTTCTCTATTCCTTTCCCAACCCCGCCCTTCCCCCAACCCTAATATTCTCTAATCTGACAGCCACATTATTTCTCAAAATAATTCCCAGGTATCAGTTATGCATATCTCTTGCCATGAAATCAAATCAAGGTTAGTCTTCTCTCACTGGTGCATATATTTTCATTAATATTAGGTAATAGTAATCAAGCACATACATAAGACAAAAATAATTGAGTAATTTTACATCTCTTATCTCAATTAATCCTCACAGTCGTTCTTTGAGGTAGATAACATTATAACTCTCTTTTACAAATCAGTCAATCAGCTTAAGGAAGATAAATAACCTGCTTACAGTCACCAGATGAAAATGGTCTGAGTTCAGAGCCTGGCCTCTAAGTGATTATCTTGATTTTAAATCTAAATGGTCAGAGTGACAGGTATCTGGACAGAAGAAAATGCTCGGGGGGCCTCCTGTAGGCTGATATCCTGTGCTCTGTTTCAGACATGAATGAACGGTCACTATTTCTGGATATAGGTGGTAATACCATTCCTACCTTCCACGACCACTTAGCCTTCTCTACAAATATGACAAGTACAGTATATTGTCAGTGTGGGAAAGAAAGGCAAAGTATTCAGAGGCCTGTTCTCCACTCACCCATGTCAGATTCCCTCCGGGCTTTTAGCAAACAGTCTACTGCTGTCGAGTCGATGCTAACTCAGAGTGGCCCCACAGGACAGGTAGAACTGCCCCTGTGAGTTTCCGAGGCTGTAACTGTTTACAGGAGGAGAAAGTCCCACCTTGCTCCATCCGAGCAGCTGGAGGGTTGAAGTGACCATGCGGCTCACAGACCAACTTCTAACCCCTACGCCACCAGGGCACATATGTGAGAGACACGTCCACTGCCAAGTTTGTGTAGGAGGAAGAAGAACATTGACCCTATGGCCAAAGACGAGAGCACATTCAGAAATGCAGGAAAGCACACGGTCATCATCTAGGATAAGCAAATGGAACTATTACTTTACACAAATTCAGGATTTATGACATTCAAAACCATTCAAACATGCAGATAAATGCAAGGACTTTAATTGAGGAACACAGCCACCAGCCCAAAACTCATGGAGGAAGACTGGGATTTTGTGGCTTGTGTGTCTAACTTTTTTTTTTTTTTTTTGAGGATGAAGGTTTTCAAGGGCTAGCCCTCTGGTGACACCGGCAGAGAAGGTGACTGCTCCCTGGACAGAAGCCAGACTGCCCCCCATCCCCCTGATACGAACCCGCCCATGGTTTCCTTATCTCCCTGAGATGCGATTTTGAACAAAACACGTTTCTCTACACTGAAAAGGAAACTCCCTCTCTCAGCTGCGCTGTTGGGCGCCTATCAGAGCAACGCCTCCTGTGAAACCAATCCCCAAGCATCCCGCGTGCCTGTGCACAGGCCGCCAGCCCCAGAGTGGACTGCTGCTGGACAAGGACCGTGGAGTAGAGGGCAGATCACACTGCACATTTGCAGCAATAAACTCCTAGCTGTCCAGTCATCTCTGACGCATGGTGACCCCATAGGCCACCTGACGGGTAAAACAATACTTCATGGGCTTTTGATGGCGGTTGGGGGAGGGAAGTAGATTACGGGGCTTTTCTGTTTGGGTGGACTCCAACGTACAACTTGTCAGGTAGCAATTACTGAGGACATTAATGGGTGGTACCCATCAGGAGCTTCTTCTTCTTTTTAAAGTATGATTGAAAAAAGTGACTCTGACTACAGGAGCCCCAGCAGGATCACAGGCACTTCCCCGGTACAGGCAGCCTCGGCCGCTGTCTAGATACTCCGATGGCCTAAAGAAAAGCAACTTCGTGAGGACTTCTGCGAACTAAGGGGACGACTTTCACTCTGTTCTCTAAACCCACCAGTTTTCTCCTAAACGCCACCAACAGATTAGCAAAGCACCGCAGAGTTAGAGCAGTGGTTCTCAACCTTCCAAATGCTGTGACCTTTCATACAGCTCCTCATGTTGGGGTGACCCCTCCCCCCCAACCATAAAATTATCTTTGTTGCTACTTCATAGCTGTAGGTTGACGAATGTTATTAATTGGGAGACCCCTGTGAAAGGGGTTGTGACCCATAAATTGAGAACCGATGTTTGATGGGTTCCACTAACCAGAGGGCAACTTAATAAAAATTCAAGAAAAAAAGAACAAAAGGATAAACCTCCAAATTAAAAAGAGACATACTGAAAAACAAATGAAATATAAAAGAAACAAAGGATCTTCCCTGATCTTCAGACCATGTGGAGGTACTGATAAGTCTGTCCAGGAGCTCTGGTGGCGCAGTGGGTTGGGCCTTGCACTTGGAACCACATGGTCTGAGTTTCATACATGCCAGTTTCTCTGCAAGGGGAAGATGAGGCTGTGTCTGCTCCTGTGAAGATTAAAGTTTTGGACCCCCCAGGGGAAGATCTATCCTGTCCAGCAGGGTCTCTATAATGTGAGAGTTAGACTTGACTCAGTGTCAGTGGGATTAGGTCAAGTCAACCTTGACTCATAAGGACTTCCGGTGACAGAGCAGAACTGCTCCATCAGATTTCACATGCTGTCATCTTTTATTGGAGTGGATCACCATTTCCGCCCCCAGCACAGCCACTGGGGGGATTGGAACTACCACCTTTTGGAGGAGCAGTTGAGTGATGCTTAACAGTTGCATCACCTGGGTTCCAGTAGGGATACATGCACATTTTAGCCATATATTACCACAAGTGACAGACAAGTTAAATGGCATGTCCAAAGAAGTACAATCCCTGGTCATGTTCTGAGGAAAAATCTAATTTAAATTAAGGCAGACCAATGGAGCCGGTAGAATTTGATCATGGCTTTTCAAGATGCATAGAATTAAACACTTTGGAGAGGGTAGAGATGTCAATACAATGATTCAAAGGTATTTCAGTTAATTGATTAGTACAGGTTAGTTATTGGGCACAATGAACAGTATTTAATAACATGCATTTATTGACAGGTGGCTGACCAGGAGGGAGAGCAGGAAAGGAGGGAGGAAAGACGAGGCAGTCTAGGGAAGTTGTCAAGCTGAAGTGTGTAGCCCAAGGTGAAGTTTGGAGATGAGGAGAATGGAAAATTAGGCTGGAAAACAGTTTTAAATCCTAGGACAAAATATCACACCTCACAAAGCCACTCCTAATAAATACTTGTTCATATCATTGTTATTAAAACCTATTTATTGCTGTTTATCTTTAGTGTTTTAAAAATAAATATTCAAATCATAAAATAGACTACAAACTCACTGTTGACAGATGAATCATATCTTCTTCAGTATTAAATCTATCTATAGTTGACACTGATTAAACATCGAAATGTTATTTGAACCCTCTCCAGAAACACAAGTATGGCATATTGAATATCACAATCAAAATTGAACACTTCAATTGGGATAGAGGACAATCCATTTGGGGGGGGGGGGGTCACCAACTAACCATGTGACCTTGGGCAAGGTGTCCTTTTCTGTAAACACAGGGGTTGGGCTCAGCCTTCTGATGACTAAAGGCCCTCTTAGTTCTAATTTTGTTATGAATTACTGGTAAATCATGCCTGCATCTCCATATATGACATGGGTCAAACATTCCTGATGTAAAGCTCTAAAGAATTCTTTGTGAATGGTCCCTGGGATAATTAACTTCCATCAATCGCTGGGAAACAGGAAGCAAACTATGCAGCAGTCTTTAACTTCCCTCCCAGTCTTCTGAGAAATCGCTCTGTCACTTCACATACAAATGTCTACTGGCTTGAGGAAGTTAACCCAGTTAGAACATGCTTCTTACACAAAACAGAAAAAAGAAAGAAAGAGGACCTCCTGAAAAATACGGGAACAATTCTGGAGACAATAGAACTATTTTCTTTGGAGTAAAGGACGGTGGGATTTGTGGTGTTCCCTGCCATTTCTGTGCTCGGCTGTCCAGCTGGACCTCTCTTCCTCACTCTCCTCTCCAGATTCGTACTCCTCGTTCACTGCATGAAAGAGTTGTGTGGGCCGCAACGCTGCCCTCCGGATCCTGCCAGGGTGCTCTTCTTGGCTTGTGTTTGTTTGATCACCAACGCTGAATGGCGGCCCTCCTTTGTGTAAGCTCCTCAGTGGGATAGCTTCTTGGGGTGGCCACCTGTCCTGAAACGGCCTTGTTGGAGAGTGTGCATTGAAGATGATGGAAGGGGACCCTGAATCACTGCTGTCGTCACCTAGAAAACCATGGTAACAAGATGAGAAGAACATAAAGCCATATAAGGGCATTCAGATTTAATAGAGAGATGGCAAGAATTTCGAATGGAGCCAAGGTTTTTTGTTTGTTTGATGTTTTTATGTTCTAGCTCTTAGAGTCAACTTTTTTATCAATATATTTTCCCTTTCCGTGGTCACTACCCAAAGTGGGTGGGAAACAGTCAATTTAAGCAATATATTAAGCTTGTAGAAATACATGGACATCACTGAGCCAGTTTTCCTCAGGTGACATGAGGGTATCAATTCATCAGATCAATCTGATCTTATAATGCTGGGTGTTGCCCAGGGGCACCAAGAAAAAGACAACGAAAATAAAGGGTGCATGGTACTGCTCTGTAAATTTAGTTGGTTTTACGTTGGCTTGGTCTTGAATCAGTGATTGCCAGAAAGCATGACGTCTGAGTTTCCTACCTTTCACTGCTGAGTAGGAAATATGATAGAAGCAGAGATGTGAAGAACCCCAGCAGGGAACTGTGTCAGCCAAAACAACAGTGATGGAATGCTATTTGTCAAAAGGAGGTGACTAAGCAAATGCACTGGGACTGGCATGCAATGGAGTGATAATTAAGGCTTTGGGTCAATTTAGCTAGGTCAGGATTCTCAGTGATTTAGCTGTTAAAAGGTAATAATCCCACATGGTGAGAGCTAACATATATGAACACAAAGAAACCTGCTATTGATTGATTCATCTGCTAGCTATTAAATGAAATGAAGTTTTTCCCTGGGAGGTTGGCTTGGCTTACAATATACATGGATGCTGTGGAAAAACTTGCTTGCTTTTTAGTGGGTCAGGATCCTGGCTTGTCATCTGACCTCGGGTTCTTTACATTAGAGTCAGTGGTCTGCTGGACTGTCTGCCAACAATGGGAGGCCCCAGTCATTTGTCATCTTACCTGACAACCTTGGATTCATTTGCCTCTGGAGCCAGAAGCCTGCCATCTGCCCTCCCAATCCTGAGTTCACCAGTCTCTGAAGCTGCCCCAATTAAGAAAGTTTCCAGCTTGACCCCCACCTGCTGCCTCCCTCTACAACTCCCATGATAACAAACTCTTTCTATAAATATGTGTGTATGCTTTATGTATATAGAGAGCAGGTTTGTCTACTCTAGAGAACCCGGCTGAAGACAGATGGCAATAATGATGATAACATGTTTTTAAAATCACAACTGTGTCGATTATGATTCCTGGTGACCCTATAGGGCAGAATAGACCTAACCTATAGAAAATCTAATGCTGTAACCTTTACAGAAGTAGACTGTTTCTTCTTTCTCTCGTGGGGTGTCTGGTGCGCTGAATTGCCAACCCTTTGCAGCTTAATCATTGTGCCAATAGGACCCCTAATGATAATAACCGCTATTTATTGAGAAATTACCATGTTTCTGTCAGTGTCTAGAATTCCAGATCATTTTATGTATGTCCTTTGAGATGAGTGAAATTGTGGTCCTCATTTCATTGCTAGAGAGGCTGAGGTTTCTCAAGGTGACAAGGTGAAGTCACTTTTTAATATCATACAGCTCATATAGACGGAACAGGAACTCAAGTAGAGCCTTTCTAGTTCATTTTTAAATGTGGTATATGTGGGTAGTAGAGGGTAAGTGGTAGAACTGTTGCCTTGGGCAGAAAACCTGGGCTTGATTCCTAGCCAATGCGCATCACCACTTTTCTGCCGGTGAAGGACCGTGTGTTGCTGTGATAATGAGCTCGTTTCATTAGAGCTTTCTGATTTGGATGGACTAGGAAAACAGGCTTGGACATTTACTTCTGAAATCCAGCCAATGAAAACATAATAGACTCCAATAGTCTGTGTGATATGCACATTACTAAGGAGATGATGTAGGACCAAGCATCATTTTATTTGGATATCCATGTTGTCCAAGTTGGACGTGACCTGAAGACAACCAAAAATATTAATGTGCAGGTTTTTTAAAATGAGGGGAACTCTGATAGTTATATAATGTCCCTCTCCGATTACCTTCCAAATAGCTAATCACTTATATGACCTTGCCCTTCTCCTATTCAATGTGTCTATGTTTCAGAAGTATGTAATATATTCCACACATTTTATTTATTCATATTTCCTTGAATTTTAATCTGATAGATTTATTTCCCCTTCACATATTGCATAACACATGCCTCTCAAGTCAGTTCCAACTCATAGTCCATAGCCAACCTGCAGAATTGTGTAAAACTTCCCTTTGAGTTTCTGAGGCTTTACAAAAGCATGGGGCATCTGCTAGGTTCAAAGACCTCATGGCTAACAGCCCAACTCGTAACCCCACCCACTCTGTCACCAGAGCTCTGAGAATCTGGATATTTTAATATACCTTCAAGAAAATCAGAAAGTAAGTTTCCTTTTCTCACTTTCCGGGTGCAGTCGTTAGCACCAAATGTTGGGGTTGGAATGTCCCAGTTGCTGTGCAGAAGACAGATGACGTCATCTCCTTCCAGAAAGATTTGCATCCTTAGAAATCCTATGGGGAATTTCTACACTAGCCTACAGAGTGTCTATGAGTCAGAATGAAGCATTTGTTTCACTCCTTACACGCACACATACTGCCCCACAGCTAGAACTAATATGCCCAAAGGTTAATACTTCAGAAAATCATTTTTAGGAGCTGGAACACCAGAAAATCCTTAAGTATTCTGTGTAGAAATTGTTTGTTTTTTAAAATGGGACTGGAAATATTTTTACAATTTAAAAATTTTGATTAAATTTTAAAAATTAAACTTAAACACACTTTTAAATGTGTTTAAAACTGTTTTTAACATGTGGCTGAGAAGCCAAAGGAAAGAAGGAATGGTGGGGACTGTGCTTCATCCTTCTTTGTATAATTTTCCTTCCCATGAACAGCCCAGGCCAGTGCCATTCCAGGGACAGGTCAACGCATTCATCCTCTGCACAATCGGAATATCGATTCTTCTGTTTTCTGCCTTAGTAAGGGAAGGAAAAGAACATAGAGATCAAATTTTAGTGAAACCATAGACAGGCCTATAAAGTGACAAAGGCCTGTAAAGGGACAAAATAACACCAAGAAGGAGGTGCACTCAACCCTAAGGGACCAAACTGGCAGCCATTTGCTCTCAAACAAAGCACAGAGGACCGGAAGGGGCAGGAAAGAATACTATTGCAAATGGGGAGCCCAAGGAGGAAGTGGGAAAGATGTTGTTCATGTAATGAATAAAAATGTGCCTTCACTGTTGAGTGGAAACTCAATATACTCTTGAGCTGTTCAATTAAACTACAAGATGAAAAAAATGGAATAAAAATCAAATCAAATTCAGTACTGTCATCTCAGGACCAGGCAGAGCTGAATTATGTTGCTGCTATTATTGTTGGACACCCCTGAGCGGGTCGGACTTAGAGGGTATTGGAGGAGCGTCTAAACTCAGAGGGAGCCCGTGTGTGGGAAGAGGACAGGCTGGCAGTGGAGGCTCCATGTTAAAGTCGTGACACCAGCCTAGCTTCCACGTTGGATTTTAAAGCTGCCTTTTCTAACAGCAGTTCCTCTCATTTGGATGTCCTAAGGGAGACAGTCTCTTACTCTGACATCTGGAAGGTGCCGGATTTCGCATCTATTCTCAAAGTCTCTCTCCATCGTAGTCCAAGAGAGGCAAGATGTGATAAATGATTCCCCAAAGGGTCTTGGTGCAAAGTATTACCACTACATCTTGCCATGGGCCTCCAGAAGCTAACATAAGTGAGAAAGAAATTTTTAGAGCCGGTTACCAAGAAAAACCTCCCTGCCACTGTCCTGTGACCATCCTGCAATAGACGGAAGAACTCCACCATTTGAGATGACAGTATATCAGATGGAAACACGGTCTAGTCCTCTCTCATCCTCACAATCGATGCCCAGTCACTGCGTCAGCCCATTGCTTTGAGGGGCTTCCTCAATAAAGGGTGTAAGAGGATAGAAGTTAGCAACATACAGTAAGTAGAGGCCTAGAAACCCCAAGGGTAACCATGCCCCTTTTCTCTCTTCCCCGAGGTTTCAAAGCCACCCAAGGGTGCAAGAGGAGTTCCGAAGCTGCATTTATCTGTCAGGAACAAGATAGGCTCTGACTCTGGGGGGAAAGGGAAAGACAGGAAGGAAATGGCTCTCTGAAACACAGCTTGTTGAGTAAAGGCTGATTGCTTTAGGGCCATCTCTCTTGGTGTTGTTCTCTGCCTCCCTGAACCCTCCCAGCCCTTTCTTTTAACTGCAGGCTCCTGGCATGGAACATATCAGCAGGGACACCCACTGGAAGAGCATTTCACTTCTGATGGATTAGTGGTGGAAAGATTTATTAAGAGCAGCAAATAAGCATCTGATACAGGGCGGGTAGAGAGCACAGAAAATAGTACTGGAGAAGTCGAATCAAATGATTGAGGAAAGCTTTCAAGATCTTCATTTGCTAATAGAGCCTGATACCAAATGAGAAGAAACTGCACACACTCAGTAATAAATAGGATGTGGATGTACAAAACATGAACCCAGGAAAATCTGAAATCATCAAAGTCACGTTAGAAGAGACTCTGAGAGTTGTTCTTGAGGACTGAATCCCTAACTCTAATGGGAAAAATGATTAAATCAATGAGCTCAAGAGAAAAATCTGAAGGAACAAGATAGGCAAAGGAACAAGAATGACAAAGTAGTGAATGAAATATGGATCTTGTGTTAAAAAGGCAAATGGGAAAAACACCCTCGCAAGTTCTCAAGCTAAAAGAACTGAATAAAAATTTCACTCTCTGGTTGCAATATTGAAGAATTCTATTCAGAAAATACTGAATGATGCAGGAAGCACAAAAAAGATAGAAGGGATGAACAGAGTCACTGTACCAGAAGGGAGTGGACTCTTCAAGCATTTCAAGAAGCAGCATATGATCAAGAAGTACTGAAGGCCTGGAGGAGATATTGAAACTATTGAAGGAGGCAGTATTGAAGGAGGTGAGCCAAGCTTCACTGGAGGTATTGGTAAAA